GGCTGCTCTCTGAGAAGCATGCCTCCCTGAGTTGGCTGCATCTCATCACTTTGTGGTGTCAACTCATTTCTAGAGAATCCCTAAATTGGAACCAGTGCCCCCTCCACATTTCACCCTGAGCCATGGGGTTCAAGACTACATCAGTACCTTGGAATGGGGTGCCTTGGCCTAGACAGATGCTTAATGCTGTCAGAAGAAGGTCCAGGGGTCAGTTTCTGCCATGGTGGGTAAGAGATGAGTCTGCCTTGAAAATTTAGTCTTGTCTGTCTGACAGGCCCCACACCCTCACCCTCAGCCCATCTCCAAGAACTGGGCCTTATAAATCTGTTATCCTCTCACTACTCATTCAGACACCAGAGGCTTTTTTTCTCAACTATGGTCAATGGAACTATGTAAGAATAGGAGCCCAAATGCTGCTCACTCTGTGGAGATGTGGCAAGGGAACCACTGTTTATGGCTTGCAGCTGAGGACATGCCGCACACAGTGGAGAGGCCTGCATACACAGTGCTGGCAGAAGAACCCAGTGTTTCTATGAGTGGCCAGCACACTGGTAGGCCATAGCCTTGCTCTCAGGACCTCTAGAAGAAGTACACAGACTGCTGTTTTCTTCACTGAAGAGGAAGAGTCACCGAATGTTTACCTCCCTTGCCCCTCCTTAGGGACTGCTCCAGAAATGTGCATTTTCTGGTGGAGTAATAAGGTACCCACAGGATGACTTCTGCACAGTGGAGCCAAGGCTTGGCAAATGATGTTGCTGTATAGTTGCTGGGAGTCATTGCCAGTGAGAGTGGCTCCCTTAAACATTGAAGTGTATGTGCACACTCTCAGCCCTGTGGCGCAGAGAATCCTGGGTGGGTCACTGTTGTGGTTTCAGGATTCCTTTCTCTGGGGGCTGCTGTGCTCCAGGCCATACCACTGAGCCTACCCCTTTCGAATACCATCTTCCCATTCCAACAAAAGCGGATTTCCTTCAGGAACTCCTTTAGAGGCATTAGTTTTAGCTGCCACCAGGGGGCAGAAGTACAGTAGATGTGATATTCAAATTGTGATGGAAAATTGATATTAATGAGAAAACTATGGATTTCATTTTTTTGCAGCAAAATAAATTTTCCTTACAATTCAATTTTCTACTAACTTTTTGAAATACCCTCAAATACCTTTTCTCTGCAGAGATGGGACACTACCTGCTAGAAGAGACTTGCTGAGCCTTTGGAGTGTGGTTTCAGCCCTGAGTATCCCTGAGGAGAGGGCCACTTTACAACTATGGCCAATGTGACTGGTGCCCTGTAATTAGGTGCATATATATTTATTATAGTCACATCTTACTGTTGAATTGATACCTTAATCATTACATAATGCCCTTCTTTGTCTGTTTTAACAGTTTTTGTGTTAAAGTCCATTTTGTCTGATATTAGGATGGCTACACAAGCTCTTTTTTGGTTTCTGTTAGTATGGAATATCTTTTTCCATCCTTTCAGTCATTCTGTATGCATCTTTGTTGGTGAGATGTGTTTCTTGTAGGCAGTAAATAGATGTTTGTTTTTTTTTTTTCCATTCAATCAGTCTGTATCTTTTAACTGGAGAGTTGAAGCCATTTACATTCAAGGTGACTATTGATAAGTAATGACTTGGCCTTGCCATTTTTTCCATAAATATTCCAATTGTTTAATTTGAGTTTTCTTTGTATTGTTACTGGGAGCTTTTCTGCCTTCACCTTCTTGCATAGCAATAACCATGTTTCTGTGTTTCTGTGCGTAGCACATCCTTAAGGTCTTTTTGTAAGGCTGGATGAGTGGTGACAAATTCTCTCAATTTCTATTTATAATGGAAGGCCTTTATTTCACCTTCATTCATAAATGAGAGCTTTGCAGGGTACAGTATTCTGGGTTGATGGTTCTTTTTCTCTTAAGGCTTGGACTATGTCTTGCCATTCTCTCCTATCTGATAGAGTTTCTGATGAAAAGACAGCTGTGAATCTAATTGGAGATCCTCTGAAAGTAACCTGGCATTTCTTTCATGCACATTTTAGAATCTTTTTTTTTTTTATGTTTTACTGTGAAGAGTTTGACTACAATGTGTCATGGTGAAGATCTTTTCTGGTCATGTCTATTAGGAGTTCTGTGTGCTTCCTGTACTTTGATGTCCCTTTCTTTCTCCAAATTAGGGAAGTTTTCTGTAATTATTTCACTAAAAAATATATTCTCTTTTTGTATGCCTTTAGGAACTCCTAAGAACCATATGTTGGGTCAACTGATCTTCTTCTCCTCCTCCTCTTCCTTCTCCCTCTCTCCTTCCCCACCCCCTCCTCCTTCTTCTTCTTCTTATTTTGTTGGACTAAAATTTCCAGAGATTTGTCTTTTAACTTGGATATTCTTTCTTCTGCCTCATTGATTCTGTTGTTAAGGCTTTCCACCATATTTTTTATTTGTTCTATTAAATTCTTCATTTCAAATATTTCATTTTGATTTCTCTTTAAAATCTCAATTTCATGAAAAGAATTTTCTTTCTTGTCATGTACGGATTTCTTTAGTGCATGGATTTGCTTCTGATTACTTCTAAGTAATCATATGATCAATTTTTTTACTTCCATTTATGGATTTTCTTGAGTCGCTTCATCTTCTCATTATAGTATTGAAGTATTGTGTTTCTTTGGGGGTGTTGTTTTCCTTATTCTTGTTTCTTTAATTGCTGCATTTATTTTTAGGCATATGAGGAGATACTTGTTTATTTTTTTCCCTGTGGTAGCTTTTATCTCCGAACTATGCCTTTGTAACTTAATGGAGTATCTGCTCTTTTAGTGAACATCCTTAGGCCTGTGCTAGGTGTGACCATGGAGCTTTGTTCAGTGCTCTGCAGAGAGAGGAGTGTCCAGGGTGACTCTGAAATTGGGTGTGGCAAATCTCTTTCTCTCTTTTTATTTATTTTTTTTTATCAGAGGTCACGTTTGTTCAGCCCTATTGGCATAGTCTCACGCTCACCTCCTCTCCTCTATGGAGATCACTTCCTGGGTGCTAGCCCCAGTGTGTACAGTATTCATCCGTGCTGCAACAAGAACTACACAAAGGATCTGTACAGTCCTTGGTGTGAGCAGATCCTGAATAATGACCCTCACAGGGAATCAGGGAGCCCTGAGCATGTAGAGCCACCCACAGTGATTGCTGAAAGACCCAGCAACACCCTGTGCCCTCACATGTAGCCATAGTGTTTTCACAGTCCTAGCCCCACAGTTATGTGCACCCGGCCCCCTTTTAATTCTCCCAGCCAGACTTAGGCATCTCCTCTCAGTTGGTTGCTGGACAGGCAGACACAGGCTGTCACAGCTGTTTCGTATGTCCAAAATGGCACTCATGTGCTCTTGGCTAGTTACAGGACCCTGGTGCCAGGTAGTTGGGGAGAGAGAAACATGCCCCCTTTTTCCCCTCTAGGTTGGCAGATGTGCATACTGTCCCCAAAAGGACACCAAACCAGACTCTTCCCGCAGCTTTATTGCCAGTGGCTTGGGCTGCTGCTGTCTGGACTCAGTCACTTTACAAAGCTGATTGCTTAGGCTCTTGGCTAGAATCCTTAGTTGTGCACATCCATAGCCTCCACATAGTTCCACAGTGTCCCTCTCATTTACATGCAGTTTCCTCTGCCGTTTTATTCCTAACTCTTCCCTGAGATTGTACTCTTTCCACATTTTTAAAAATATCTTCCCCTAGATTAGAGCAGTAAGCTCCCTCACTATTCCTCCATCTTGGTGCCTCTCAGAGTTGATTCTTGTCTCATGGTGACCAAGAATGATGACGTGGACAGACATTGGGAGTGAGCAAAAGCGAAAGTAGATTTCATGGAGAAACTAAGACTCCTGCTAACCAGCAGGGGATCCTGGGGAGGGTTCCGGTATGGCCTGGGTAGGGAAGTTACATAGGGAGTGCCTGCCAGTTGATCAATTCCCCAAATGGTCTCTACACGTCAAGGGTCTGATTTTTTTCTGAAACATTTTGGGAAGTGGTTGTGGTCTCCGATTAGATGAGAAATGTTACCTTGCTGACCGCTTGAGGAATATTACAGTTGGGAAATGTTGCTGACCAGTTAAGAAATGTGTGTGTTCTGGTCTGGTGCCAGGACCTAGTTCCTTACAGTTATTTAGGTACCCGTTATGTTCCCTGTCTCTCTCTGCCTGTCTTTCCTTTATCTGACTCCTCACAGCAACATACAGGCCCCTGGGATAGGACTGGAGCATCTTTGGAGATTGTTGCTCAGTCTACCACATTTTATTTTATCCTTGGAGATTCCCTTTACTTCTCATAAACAGAAAAGGCAGTGGAAAATATGTTTTCATGCAGCATCTAGTTACTTTGTTGTGAGAGGCTGGTAGAGTGTCAAGTTTTCTGTACTGCCAGCAGCATCTGTCCTCCTAAGATGTTTCTAAACAACATTAATAGGGTCTACTCCAAGCCTTTGAAACATGCATCTCTATGGTTGAGTTTTAAAATCTTTGCTTTTAAAAATTACTACAAGTGAGCCTTCCAGTAAACTAGAGTTGCGAGTTTCTATCCATAACTTGTTCATACCCAGCAGGTGGGGTATCATGGAGGAAGTGCAGAAGGGTGTCTCCAAGGCTGTGACTCCTGGCTCAGTGCCTGCTAGCACAAGCCTTCTATCCTTTCTCCTGCACAGCTCCTGAGGGCCTGTTTCCATTTACTGGTAATCTTAAGTCGACTTTCCTTTGTGGCATTACATGTGAACAGAGGCTAATGCTCTAGAATTGGAGATAATGAGACACAGAGTGATTTTACCTGTCTAAATTCTAGTCATCGTTTATGGTCATCACGAATGAGACCTTTTGTGGTGCATCCTGCTAAGTAGTGAATGTGATGTCTCTGTGACTCTTTCTAACCCTTGGAATCATGTACAATGCTTTCTCAACTAGACTGTCTTCAAGGGTTCATCATCATCATAAACCTATACTCTTAGCCCATTAGGTCAACAGAAAGCAATTGAATGGAACATGGTGGTCAGTGGCTTCTGAAGATTTTTATTGATTTATCAGGATGGATGGGGCAGCAGAAAAATGGCAGAGAGAAAAGTGTCCCTAAGAATCTTTATAAGCTGAAGAGAATTCAGCATGAAGGAAATACTTGTTCCCTATCTTCCTGCTCCTAGGAGCATCTGTGTGGCAAAGCAGATAGGAGACGGGAGTTTGGGACAGAAAGCACCTTGCAGAAATGACCTCATTGAGGAAGACCTAAGGGGGAAGCTCTATGATTAGGAGCTGAATCTAGGGACGTGTCAACTAGACTGGCCGGGCGGACAAGCCAGTCCCTCTCCAGCTGTCTTGCGGTCCAGTCACTGTAGTCTGGATGAGTCATGGTTTGCTACCTTTGAAGTAGGAATACAGCCCCTTAGCGGAGAAGCCTTGCTTCCTTTCTGGCTTGGCTGCATCCTGGCCCTGTGCAGAGGGAGTGCTGGTGTGCCTGCTGTTTTAGTCCTGCCTTTCAATCACTAGCTCCCGTGTGATGTCATCAACCCACTCACTGGTGACTACTGGGGGCTGTCTCTCTCCCTGCCCTCCTGTCACACTGCTGCTGGAGTGCGTACTGCTCCCTTCCTGTCGTCCTGTCACAACACTCGCCCTAGTCTGGGCCTGTCCTCCCGGTGCTGACTCTCTTGCCTCGAAGTTGCTTACGTGTGTCCACCTTTGACCAGTGCCAGACTGTGTCTGGGTCTGCCCCTGTGCTCCAGCCCCTGTATGGCTCTCACTCTGGCTTATGCCTTGCTCCACAGTCTGGGAGTGCGATCCTGCTTCTGTCTGAACATGTCCTCCTGTCACAGCCTGGCTGGTCTGGCTGCTGTCTTGACTGTGGGTCTCAGGCCTCCTGGTCTGACCATCAGAGGACCCCTGTGTCTGGATGCTGGTACTTCCTGTCTGATGGTTTATGCCCTGCTGCATCGTCTGGGTCTGTGACCCTGTCTGAGCTTGAGCATGTCCTCCTGGCACAACCTGGCTGGTCTGGCTGCTGTCTTGACTGTGCGTCTTAGGTCCTTTGGTCTGGCCATCAGAGAACTCCTGTGTCTGGACACTGGTACTTCCTGTCTGATGGCTTCTGCCCTGCTGCACAGTCTTGGTGTATGACCCTGTCTGTGTCTGGACGTGTCCTCCTGTCACAACCTGGCTGGTCTGGCTGCTGTCTTGTCTGTGCGTCTTAGGTCCTTTGGTTTGGCTATCAGGGGACTCCTGTGTCTGGACACTGGTACTTCCTGTCTGATGGCTTCTTCCCTGCTGCACAGTCTTGGTGTATGACCGTGACTGTGTCTGGATGTGTTGTCCTGTCACAACCTGGCTGGTCTGGCTGCTGTCTTGACCATGCGTCTCAGGCTCCCTGGTCTGACCATGGGGGGACTCTTGCGGCTGTTTGCTGGTGCTTTTGGTCTGATGGCTCCTGTCTTGCTCCACGGTCTGAGTGGCACCTGCTTGGGTGTGAGTTGCAGTTCCTGTCTTGGTCTCACCTGTCTGGGGGGCTCTGTCCTGCTGTGTGGTCTGTGATTGACTCTCTGATCTACTCTCTCTGGTCTGCCGATTCTTGTCCTCCATGCTCTGGGTCTGTCCCTCATGCCCGCTGGCCTGTGTCTGCTGACTTGTTCTTTCCTGTCTCTGGGCCTCAGTCTGCCTGTCATGTGTTGAGCTGTTGTCCTGACTCTGGATCTGAGTCCTGGCCCTGTCCTGCCCTCTGGAAGTCTGCTTGCTTTGTCCCTGGCTGCTCCCCTCTTGCTGCAGCCCTGTCCCAACCCTCCTTGCTTCAGTGGCACTTGCTTGGCCTTCTCCAAGCTCTTGTGAGGCCCCGGAGTGCTGGCTTCCAAACTCTTGAGACCCACAAGCTCCCTGGGGACTCTTGCTCAGTGTCTTGAAACAGGCCTGTGCAACTTTAAACATCAAGACCAGGAATTCCTGGAATTCTATAGTGCCTGTGTCATCTTCATCCAGCAGGCGAAAGACTTCATCCACAGTGGCAGGGTCGTGGGGTTTCTGGGGAGAAGAAGAGGCTATGTCAGCATCTCTCCTCCAAGGAGAACATGGCTAGGTCAGCTCCACAGTTTCAGGCTTTCCAGCCCTAGGGCCTGGAAGCCAGCTCCGCATACCAGGTAGCAGCAGTAACACTTAATTGCCGTCATTTTTTTCAGTCCTGTTTCTTTATATCTCCTATGACTGGCACAATTTTTGGCCTACAGGACAGCTGTATGAGGAATTGCACAATGAACAATGAGCTCCTCCTCCTACTGTACAGGTTCTAGAGCTGAATCTTTGGGCTGCCCTTGGCACTGAGGCCAGGGAAACACAGTCTTCCGGGAGTTCTGTGAGCACCTCACTTAGACTCAGATACTTTCCCAGGATAAGGTAGGTAGGGGTCCAGCAGGATGGTAGGATTATCTGGAGGATCCAGAGGCAGTATCCTGCTGTGCCCATATATTCTTGTTCCTAGGCCTTGGTTGTCTTAGTAACTTTGGATACGAGTCAAAGGCAGGAAAGCACATCAAGGCCCTGGTTTTGGCTTTCCAGGACATAGAACTCCCAGAGCTTCCACCAAGCTGTTAACAAACTGCACCCCAAAACCTCAGGTATGATGTGGTCAGTTGGCTCATAACTTTTAGCAATTGCTTTGTGGAAGACACAGAGCTGTGCTTCTAATGAATTTTTATTAATGGACCATCAAATTTCAGATAGACATGGGAAATGTTTACCATATCAAATTTAAGAAGCTGCAGAAAGCAGCAGTTACTCTGATTTCTAGACCATTTGAAGGTGCTACTCCTCCCAGCAATGTCCCATTAGAGTCCTTCTACTTTGGCTTCAAATTAGAATTAATTAAAACCTATATTATATATTTATATATTTTATATTATGTGCATTTTGCAATTCCCATGACCATCTCATTCCTCTGCCTTTTGTTTCTCTGCCTGCACAGCTGCCGTTAGCACCAGCAGGCCTGGATTTAGCTGCTGCCTCAATTCCTCCTGTCTGCTCCACCCCACCCCACCCAGGTAAAGCCTCAGCTGTATTCCCCTGTTACACTCCATGCCGCCCAGCCCTGCACATCATACCACGATGACATCTGCAAACTCATGCTCCAGGAGTCTTTTCAGCTCCCCTCGGGAGAGCACTTGGCAGTTGCCCTCCATCCTGGCATAGCGCCCAAAGGCCTCGATGATCCCGTTAATGTTTCTCAGTAACTGGGGCATCTTTGACGTCAAGCTGGAAGAGATGAAAAGCCCCCGTGGGAGGAGGACATCAGATTCCTGGTCCTTTCCTTGCATGCTCGGCTGTGGTTTTGCTCTCTGTCTTCCTTCATGCTTTCCTCCTGGCTAGGTTTTATGCATGGGAAGGAGGAGCACACAGCGACTGGAGATGAGCTCCTGAGTCAGGATTTAAATACCGGCCCCAGCACTACCTGGCATGTGAGTGGGGCCGAGTTTGCTTTCCTCTCCATGCCTCCATTTATTCTTTGTGAATGAAGGTAGTACTAGTACTTTAGAGGGTTATTGTGAAGATTTAAAAAGATAATTCATGAAAAGTGCTTGGTGGATGACTGGCTTTTACTAAGTGCTAGCTATTACATATGATTATGTTATTATATACATATACACATATATAATTTGTCTACACACACACACACACACACACATACACACACACTACTGTCCACAGAGCACTTTGCAGTGCATCATCTCTTATAATCCTTATTATCTCTACTTTAAATGAGAAAACAAGCTTGGAGAAGTTAGATGATTTGCCTAGGGCCCCACGTCTTTTAAGGGAACAAGAAATTCTAGAACTCATTTCTTCTTAACTTAAATGCAATGATTTTCTAGAATGTATCCAGTGGACAAGGTTAATTTGCCTATTACAAGGCATTGAGATCCCACCAAGGACACCATTAGGCAGTAAATACACATTTGAGTCAGCTCTCTTGGGTGGGAGCCAAGCAGAAACTCCGTGGCCCAACCCTGCTCTTTCTTGCCAATTGTTAGGAATGCTTGGGAGAGGGCTGCCTTCCCTGGGTGGAGGCCTTCCAGTCCTGAGAGCCTAGCTTTCTCTGCACATGACCTCTGTTCTCAGTGTAGGGCCTATCAGGGAGTTCAGCTTGCCCAAGAGGCATGTGGTTCCATCCAGCCCAGCCCTGTCGACCTATGAGGAACAGTTACCAATTGAAGGGAGATTTTCATTTTCTTTAGCCACGAATCTTGGGTAGATTAAGGTGAGGCCTGTGAGTGGGTGGATGTGCAGGAGGAATAGAGACTTGAAAATGTGTGAAGCGGAAGCCTGGGAGAGATCAGAAGGAGGAGATGCTATCATAGCTGAAGAGGTTCAAAGGCAATGAGAGATGGAAGCCTGCAGTAGCTGGAAACCAGGGCAGGGAGCTTGGAGATATAAAGGAGGTCATGGGAAGAGGAATATATATTGAGAGAGAAGCAAGAGAGTAAGAGAAGGAAGGAGACATGGGTGTTTCGGAAAAAGCAGACCAATGTGGCCAGAAGGTTTCAAAAGTTAACAGATCCAAGTCGAATAATTTTTCTATGACCTGATGGCCAATAATTCAAGGCCAACTTTTCTCTCTTGTATTTATCAAGGTACAAAACTCAGAATATTGTTCCTCAACATAGATGAAAAATATAATTTTAAAAAACCGTGTGGCAGACTTTAACCAGACTTACAAACAGTAAAAATAATAAGATGACTTTTTAGGTACACTTGATATTCCTTAGAATAAATCCACAAACTCATTTTGCCTGAAGTAAGGAAGGGGAGTCTTAAGAGTCTTTTCCTCCATGATCCAGTTGGATCCCATCACCTATTCCATAGGCTCTCATCACTGCAAAGAAGCACATGGGAGGCTCCGTTGCTTCGGCCCACGTCGTCCTTCAGGGAGAGGAGCTGCCAGCACAGCCTCAGGGGAGGAGGAGGAAGCCCGATCGCTTCAGGAGAGCATCATTTTGCAATATATTCTGGCTTCTGGTTTGCCTGGGGCCCCAAAAGGATGCTGTGTGCTCACAGGCAGCGTGAATGGCCATCTAGCCCATGTCTCACAGCCTTGTGCGAATGCTCAGATCACCAAGACACTGAGAATGAGAAAGAGATTCCTCAGGAGGGGACTTACCTTGTGCCCAGGGAGGACGAGACGAGTGGTTGTAAAGTGGCGTGTGGAGTACCAGGTCAGTGGCCCGAGAACCCTTTATAGGGGATTTAATTGAGGCTCAGGTTTTGGACAGGACGTCCCGCCCTACAGGAAGGCTTGATTCATCCAGGGCTGAGCCCAGCCCCGCCCATCTCCTTTCTTCTGTTTCCTCGACTGACATCTGGTAGTCTAATTAGCAGTCCCTCCTACCACAGTTGAGGCCATCTCTAGCTGGGTCTGTCCCCTCATGACAAGGAGACTGCTGTCCAGTGTGGTGGGTCCAGTAGTGCTCAGCATGGGTTGAGGATCATGGTGAATGTTCTTTGCCTCCATTAACCTGCAAGCATTCAAAGCACATCCACATTTTCAAGAACATAGCATCTATTGAGGATTATCCTTCTCAAAGTAGCCGCTTTGGGAGGCTACACATATTTTTCTGGTGATGCTGTTACTTAGAACATGTTTTGAATTCTTGTCTTAGAATTGCCTTTATGAGACACAGAAAGCCATTTTCATTTCTTTGTAATTGGGTCTCAGTTTTCATGAAAACAGGAAAGGTTAGTGCTTCTCCCACCCCATGCTATGGGTCAGTAGCCTTCTACAGCAGTGAGAGAAGAGGCTTAAATGATCATGTGCATCCTCCTTATTGCAAAGACAAGGAATTCAACTGATTGACTACTCAGCAAACAATCGCGGAAAGATGGCTCTGCTTCAGACAGAGGGCTAAGGCTTGGGGCATACAGTGTGGAATAAGATGGTGGCCATTTCAACTCTTGCAGAATACACAGCTTCACAGTCCCAGGGAAAGTCCTTGAGGGGTTAATGGTAACCACCATGAGTATTCGGTTCCATTTTCATTACTGTCTCATTTTATTGGCTCTCCACAACCATCCTATGAGGTGGTAGGGCTGAGCCTATTTTATAAATGGGAACACTGAGAAATCCTCAGGGAAGTGACCTCTCAGAGAAGAGGGGCGGGGCTGCACCAGGGACCCTCAGACCCCATACCTTGGCTTCTCTGTTACAACCTGCTGATGCTTATTCTTGATGATGTTGGCACTTTGCAGAGAACAGATTCATTCTCCACGCACTGCTGAGGATGCAGAGAGGGACGTCTCCTGCTGAGTCTCAGAGGGGGCCAAGTCCCGTGGAGAGGCTCCTAAGTGACAATGTGGCAGGGAGTATATACAGCTTCTCCAGCAACTATGGGTTGGGAATGCCATGTCCTCCCTCCTCTCTCACACCAGTGTGCAGCAGACAGGAGCATCAGGATGGCAGGACACTGTCAGGGCTTTGGTTGCAGCGACTGGCACAGCGAGGACAGCTCTGCAGTAGCAGCACAAACCCCAGCACAGCAGGGCAAAGAACCTGGGTGAGCAGCAGACTGCAGGAGGGCCCCTCAGGCCTTGTGGATGGAGAGGTCTGTCCCATGGATGGAGCTGGCCAGAGCAGAGGAGGCAAGTGAGGCTGCTGTGGGAACTGACCAGTGTAAGGAGAAGCCTGGCTTGAGAGAGGGACATTGCAGAACAGGAGTGAGTTTGGCAGATGGGCCCTTCCTTCCTGGGTGGTGTTCTAAGCTTGGAATTTTCATAAAGGTTTGGGAAGTAAGGGAAAGTAAAGTAGGGAAGTAAAAGCCAGGTACCTTAACTGTGAGGCAGGTATTATTACATTCAATTTGCAGATGAAGAAACTGAGGCACAGAGAGGTTAAGTAAACTCCTCAAGGTAACATACCTGAAAAGTGGTAAACCCGAATCGGAACTGTGCTCTGCCTGCCGCCTCAGCCCTTGTCTTTGCTGTGGGAGGAGGAGCTGCAGCAGCATGGAGCAGAGGTCAGCAGAGCCTGTGTGTGCTGGGGGGCGATGGGGCAGTGGGAGAGCCTGGGGCTGACAGTCTCTGAGAGCAAGTTTGTTGCGTTTGTGAAGAATTCTGTACATCAGCGATTTTACTCAGTCGTTGCATCTGCTGCAGGGCAGAGAGGGGCTGGGGTCTGTTCAGAAATTGAGTCAAACTCTCATCCTCTGGTCACTGTTCATTATCTCCAAAAAGAAATATCTCGTAGCAAGAGAAACTCCTCCGTGCACTTTGAATTCCTTCTTGCACACTTGCGCAGAAATTCATAGCTTCGTCTATTGGATTCGTCTGTGTTGGACACAGTCCGTGTTTGCTACACTTAGTGGGCTACAAATGAAGAATAAGATGTGTTTCCAAGAAAATCAGTCCAATTGGGCAAATAAGCCATACACACCAAAAGTAACTAATAGTGGGAGACAGAATTTTATAAAAATACTGAATAAGAAAAACAGTCATATCACAGAGTCTGGGGAACGAATCAGTGCTCAGGAATTATGAGATCAGGACCTGGTAATCAACACCTCCCCACCTGTGGTTGTGTTGGTTTACTGGGTTCATTTCACTTTATTTTCTTTGCTAATACTGAGTGCCTACTATGCACAGGCACATGTAAAGAGCTTACACACATCTCTCCGTTTAACCATCACAACATCCCTAGGATAGCAAAGCTATTATTCCAGTTTCACAGATGAATAAACTATCATTTAAATAACTAACCTACCTTCCTAAAGACAGAATATACTAACTGGTGAAGGCAGAAATTTTTTAAGAGAATGGTTTGCATTTAAAAAATTTATTTACTTTTATTTATTTGAAAGGTAGAGAGCCAGAGACCAACAGGCAGAGAGAAGGCTCCCATCTGCTGGTTCACTCCCTAGAGGCCACCAATATCTGGGGCTGGGCCAGGTCTAAGCCAGGGGCCAGGAACTCAATCCAGCTCTCCCACTTGGGTGGTAAGGACCGTCCAATCCATCACTTGCTGCCTCTCAAGTCTGCATTAACAGGGAGCTGGAGTTGGAAGTAGAACTGGGACTTGAATCCAGGTCTTCTGATATGGGATGCAGGTATTCTAAGCAGCATCTTAACAGTTGCACCAAATGCCTGCCTCAGAAGGCAGGAGTTGAACCCCAAAATGTCCAACTTCTCAACCTGGTCTCTTAACTGATCTGCCCTGCCTTTTAGCTAAATTTCTTAAATTTGAGGTCTAGGCAATTCCCTTTTACTTCAGCCCAGCTCAGTGTGGGGTGTTACAGCTCAGCCACTAAGTGAAGCAGCTTTGGGACCACAGAGGGTAACAAATAGGGCAAGTTCCCATATCCAGAGGCCCTGGTATAAAGCTGAGGGCAAGGCCTGAGGAAAAAAAATCTGTGTTCTCACTCCCTCCTGCTTCAGTGGTAAAATCCAGAATGAATGATAAAACCATTGATAAATTCAGCCCAAGAGAGGAGTGAGTCTTTCATGAGGGTGGCACCTTCCCTTGGTTTCTCCCCTGCCCTGCATCATGGTTGTCATCTTTTGATGCCAAAAACTTTGTCCTAAAGAGGAACATGCTTATCACACACACAAACAAGGAGGCCACAGTAGGGTACTCTGAGCGCTAAACATCCTCTGTCTAATTAAATGCCTTTTACAGTGTAGCTTCATTAGTATCTACTGCCAGGTCCTCATTGGTTGGAGAATAAGAGGAATATAGAGATAATGGGGGCAACCCATCTGTCCCCCCCATCCCCCACCCCCATGCACCCCGGGTTGCAGGGGATTGCCAAGCCTGACATAGTTTGACTGGTCTTCCAAATTTCTGTTATTAAGTACAGCCCATAAAGCAGCCTGCTCACCAGACACCTTCACTTTTGTCCAGGAGCACAGAATGGTGATAAGGAACAGGAGCGTGCCAGAGGGTGGCCATGTCCTTCCCCCAAAAGTACATGATTCTGGGCGTCACCTTTAGAACAAAAGCAAATCTGAAAGCCAGAGAGATGAGTGGCACAGGTGACAGAATTTGCTGGTGCTTATTATCCACATATGCCAGTTGAAAGACAGCATGACCGGGGTGTGGTTCTTGGAGGGTAAGAGAACAATGAGCACTTCTGGGCTTCCTCATCCTCTCTGTGCCCTTCTCTCAGACCCAGCCACTGGAGGCCCTGATCAAAGCCTCCCGGAAACCCAGGTGCTAACCCAGGTGCTGGAGTTCAGCACAGGACATGCCAGGAAGGATTAGGCTGATACCAGAGACGTCCCTACCAATGGCTTTGCGACTGTTGGACTTTGTAGGCCTAATCCCTGGCCTGACCAGTTGTGTTGGCCCCGTTGTTTCTCAGAGTCATGACCAGGCAAGGAGCACATGACTAACATGATCCTTAGCATCCTTGGTTTGCTCAAGGGAGCTGGAATCCACCATTTTTTAGGTCCTCTGTATATCCTGGAACTAGGTGTTCAGTCCTTAGGCAGAGATCCTACAAGGTTTCAACCTTTTCTTCTTCTCACTGAGAAAAGAAAGTCATGGCAGGGGCTTGACCAGGGTTCCTTCTTCTAAGTTCCTCAAAGTCCTGATGATGCCAAAGGTTTGTTGGCTTAAATGTAATGGTAGCAGACTTATTTCCAATTGGTTCCTTATTCTATCATAATCTCCAGTCTAAAAGTATGGACCTACCATTCACCCCAAAACTGCGGCTCATGCTGCCTTCTTGACTTCCTTCTAATTCCTCTTGTCTTGTATTTTCCTTTCATCTCCATGCAGATACTGTCTCCCTGTTCAGAACAACTCAGATATCACTTCCTCCTTCACATGTTTCCACATTATCCCAACCAGCTGAGCTCTGTCTTTTAGACATCTTAGTTTTCTTCTAATACTCTTCTTTTATCTTCTAAGATATTTCAAATAATATAAAGAGTTAAATGAGCAAACATAAATTTAACTTTTTTAAACATTTTATACTATTTGCCTCATATATAAACATTATATATATAATTTTTTTGACAGAGTGGACAGTGAGAGAGAGAGAGAAAGGTCTTCCTTTTCTGTTGGTTCACCCCACAATGGCCACTGCGGCCAGCGCGCTGCGGCCGGTGCACCGCGCTGATCTGAAGCCAGGAGCCAGGTGCTTCTCCTGGTCTCCCATGCAGGTGCAGGGCCCAAGGACTTGGGCCATCCTTCACTGCCTTCCCGGGCCACAGCAGAGAGCTGGCCTGGAAGAGGGGCAACTGGGACAGAATCCGGCACCCTGACCAGGACTAGAACCTGGGGTGCTGGCACCGTAGGCAGAGGATTAGCCTAGTGAGCTGCGGTGCCAACTATATATATAATTTTTGAAAGCAGGAGTGGATATATTAATATCACATAACATGGAGCTTACAACAAAAATCATAAAACAGGAAGAAGAGTACATTATTATGTTAGGGGTATAATTCAGTAAAGATAACATTTATAAATATATACCCTATAATGTGGCATCATCTCTCTCTCTATATATATGTATATGTATGTATACACACACACACACACACACACACGTGCATGTGCACACCCACACACACCCACATACACATATGCGAGAAAACAAGCGATATTTGTCTTTCTGTGTATGGCTTATATGACTTAGCATAATGATTGACAGTTCCAGCTGTTTTGCTGCAAATGTCAAGATTTTATTCTTTTTTTTTAATAGCTGAGTAATATTGCATTGTGTACCTATACCACATTTCCTTTATCTACTCATTCACTGACAGACATCTAGGTTGATTTCGTATCTTTTCTATTGTGAATAGTGCTGCAACTGTTGCATCTTTTACAGCATTTATTGTACTCTACCCTCATTATCCTTGCTTGTCTACTTGCTTATCTTTTTTAGATTATGCCACCTTTTGAGGACAAAACTGGTTTGTAGTGAGATGACTTGATATGGAAGCCCTTGTGCATTCTCAGAAAAGCATAGCTGCGCTGTCTCCTGAAGACTTGAGGGCTGGGTGTTATGTCACTTAAATCATACCTTGACTGACCCATATTTTTATCCCACTAGAGCTACTGGGCTTCAACCTTGTATTCATGGGCGTGTAGTGGGATATCTATGTGTCTACAGGACAAAGTAGAAAAAATACCAATGCAGCTTTAAGTCAGGAAGGACTGGATTTGTGCTGGCTTTAGCCCTACAAACCTGTCGGCACTGGTGTCCACTAGGGTTAGTCATCATTCACCTGTTTCCTCCTTCATTACCCAAAGCACCTGTCCCTCCCAAGGAGGTATCCAGGATTAAATGTTTATGACAAATGATGGAGTGTTATGAGCAAATTAATGAAGGGACACCAGGGCTATGCAGAGGTGAAAGCCATTAAATAGGAAAACTACATATGGGGCTTGGAAATTCAGTCCTTATTTAATGGAAGAGAGTGAGGCACTGAGTATTGAGGCCGTTCGAGGCCATTCTGGGGGCCACTGGCTGTTGATAAAGTTATGCATTCGTTATCTTCAGCCCACCTTGATGAAACCAGTGTTGGGAAGGTAAGAAGGCACACAGGCGTGGTTCTTATCCTCAGGAGTGGAGAGACCAATCCAACTCCATCATGTACCTAGCTGCATGACCTGATGACTTCTTCACCTCTCCAAGCCTCAGTTTCCTTGTCTGTAAAATAGTGATAACCTTTGCCTACACTCCATTATTAATGTGAGATTAAAACATACACACTGAATGTAAAAGTGCCTTAAAGTAGCAGTAGTGAGTGGTCCTTTTGAATCCAGAGGAAGAGAATGTAATATGAAATTAGTATTCAAACTGATCACTCATTCTGTTCTTTCAGAGCCCCTAGTAAAGGCTTCATTATGGAATTCAGAGCAAAGTTCAGGTGAAATGGATATCCTAACCACGGACTTTAGATGTCAGTGTAGAGGGTCCAGAAGAGATCTTATTGGTCCAAAATAATCAAGTGTATTTGCCGATGAGAGATCTAGTGATCATTGTGCATTGACTGGCTGCCAACCACTGTGCATAGGAGGTTTCCCTCACATTGAGACCTTTACTTCTCTCACTCGTAGGTTCGTTTTATTCTCATATTTCACAGAAGGGATCTAAGTTTCCAAGAAGTGAAATTATGTGTCCAAAGTCACACTGATAGTGTTGTATGGAAAAAGGACTGGAGCTGTGATTTTAATTTCTGGTTCAGGAATAAAACTAAATGAGGGGCTGGCTTTGTGGTGCAGTGGATTAAGCCACTGCCTGCGATGCTGGCATCCTATATGAATGCTGGTCTGACTCCTGGCTGTTTTGGATCCAGCTCCTTGTTAGTGTGCCTGGGAAAGCAGTGGAAGGTGGCCTAAGTACTTGGCCCTGCCACCATGTGGAAGACCCCCATGGAGTTCCAGGCTCCTGTCTTTGGCCTGGTGCAGCTGTAGCCATTGTGGCCATTTGGGAAGTGAACCAGCTGATAGAAAAATCTCTTATTTCTCTCTCTCTCTTTCTCTGCCTTTCAAATAAATAATCTAAATCTTTTAAAAATGAGTTAATATCTGGCTAACAGTAAGTGACATGTATTAGCTTTCATTATCATTGCTTAACTATGCACATAGAAAAATTTCTGGAAGGATATACAATCTAGTGATTATTTCCAGTGGGTGGAACTGTGGTGACATTTATTCTTCCTACTGTAACAGTGTTATTCTCACTATTTGCACTTTCCTCCATGGTGGGTTGGGGGTGGAAGGAGCCTGAATGCTCATCAGTGATAGTTGAAGTGGTTTTGCCAACATGCAAGCCTCCTCCATGGACTCCTGAACCATGTGGGAGCAAGACCTTAGGTGAGAGAGAACACCGAGGAGTATTGGCGTGGATCAGGGTAGTTCCATGGGAGTGCAAAACCTTAGAAGTTGCTTGTCAAGGTGAAGGTGTGGTACCCCGAGGCATCATGTGGTATCACACAGGATAGCTAGTTTTAACTTCTTCCTTTAATGTTTCTTGAGAAAAACTTGGAGCCTCCCTCCTTGCTTTTGAATTTCTTTTTAGCCTGTGCTTGGGCAGGTGTGACCTTTTTGTTGTTGTTAAAATAGAAAATGACCTCTGAATATATCCTGGTTCCTTCAGTTGGGAGCTCACTTACTTAGGACAAAGCCTCGGCCTCTCCTCTGAACGTGGAACCCACATAATACCCTTTCCTTCGTGAATGGCAGACATGAAGATGAGGACAGGAATGTTGATGATTTAAAAAAAATCTATTCAGAGTTGGGCTCAAAGACCTTACACAAGAAGGCTTGTCATATGATTAAATAGGAAAACCAGAGGTGCCTATGGTCATGAGGTGCTGATGGTCTGTAATGTAGTATAGGTGGATGTGTGTTCATCTGTAGAAGATAAATCTCCTTAAGTGTCACCATGCATTTCTTTGCTCTATAGCAAAGTAAGACCAAAAGTAATTTGAGTTACAGTTCATGAAAATTCTGAACTTTTGATGGCAAATGAAAAGATAGAAATTCTCTGCCTCTTCTACAAAAACTCTGGCACGAGACTGTGAATATTTGGGGGTGTGTTGACAACAGTTGGCACAGAACCAGAATCACACAAGAAGGAAATCTAGACAGGTTCACGGTGAGTGAAACTATGAAAGGATTTGTGTTAACCTCAGAAGCATTCTGTAAGTTTTTTGAAATCTGCTTTGAATACAATTTTGCTTATATTAGTGTTTTCATCAAACTTCAAATTGTTCATATAGTAGTGTGGACTGTGTCACTGTTAATCCTTTCTGCGGTCAGTTTCTAAGGTCTGAGATGAAAGATGCCCATGAGGTTTCTCTGAGGACAGAGTCCTGGCCAGGGAAGGGGTGCTCACTGCCTTGTAGACTTGGATGCTGAGACCTGGCACACTGGGTCCCGAGTCTCTGCATTCCACCCTGTGCTTAGTTGTCTTTGGGTGTTCCACAACCATAGCTCCCACCAGAATGTCTGTCTTTGAACCTGCCTTTCATGGAAAACCAAGCCTAGAACCTGCAGGATGTGAGGTGAAGTCCTCAAGGTGTATCCTCTGAGGAAGGCCCACTCTGCTGTACGTGAAGGGGTTTGTGTTTTTGTTATTGAAATGGAGAGGCTGTGTTCTTCCATACTTCCCAGTGCTAACGAGTCCCAGATTGCTGTCTTCTATGATAGTAACTACTGTCCATACAGGCAGTAAGGGGGCTGCAGACACTGGCTGCAGGCTAACTCACCACCTCTCCAGGGGCTCTAGGCAGAGGGCACTGTGCTGGAGTTTAGAGTTCACTCTCCTGCTCCCTGGTCTTTTCACATGGCTGTGTACTACTCAGGGTTCTCCAGAAAAGCAGAACTAGTGAAAGATGTATAGATGCATGCTAAGATAGAATTGAGAGATTATGTAAAGGAATTTTGAGGAATAGGCTCATACGATCGAGGGGCTGGCAAGTCTGAAGTTTGTGGAGCAGGCCAGCAGGCGGGAAGTTCCCGCAAGAACTAATGATGCAGTCTTAAAGCAGAAGGCAGAGGGGAGGCAGAATTCCCTGTTCCTCCGGGGGCTCAGTCTTTTCCCTGAAGGCCTCAGCTGATTGGCTGAGGCCCACCCACATGAGAGAAGGTTGTCCACCAATGTTGACGTTAACCATATCTGAAAAATACCACCACAGCAGCATCCGGGCTGGTGTCCGACCAAAAGCACCACAGTCCAGCCAAGTTGACACATAAAATTAAACATTTAGCCATCACAGGCTTGGTGCTCTGTTGATTTCCCCAGGCCTGGCTTTCCAGCACCTAGGGTTTTGTCTGCTGATTTCTTTCTTAGCTAATCATAATACTGTAGTGTCTTGGTTTGGACTCTGTTTCTTGTCCTTTTTCCCAAGGAGTCTGCCCCAGTCTTCTTTATTTTTCACTAAGCAATGTGTGCTTGTTTGTTTGTTTTCTAATTAAAGGAGGGAAGTGAACCTGATAGTTAGGCTCATTTAGAAACTCCAGGTTCATGCTTCTCAGCCCTTCCCTGGCTCAGCCTTGTCTGTGAAAGGAAATTTGGAAAATAGAGATATCAAAACAAAAGAGTAAACATTGTAAACATTACTGTAGTTTCACCTACTGGAGGTAACCATTAGATTGTGTGTCCTTCCAGGCATTTTTCTATGTGCACAGATAAGCGAGGATAATAATAGCTAATGCATATTACCAGCTCTCAGCCAGGTATTAGCTTATTTTACCCTCCCTATATCAGTGAGGCAGATGCCATTACTATTTCCATATTCCCACGAGGGAAAGGAGGGCAGAGATGTTAAGTGACTTGACTCACCCACGGCACACAGTTAGTGAAGGTGAGCTTCACAATTAGACCCAAGCACTCTGGTTCTGGGGTCTGAGCTTTTAATTACATTATAGTGCACCTCTGCACATGTGTTTTCCTGCTGTATAGGAGTTCTGTTCAGTGTGTATATTAACATTCAGTATGCAGTTTATTTGACCCAATTTTCACATCACAGTGATTAATTTTCAAATATCATTAAATAATCTTCGATTTTTTTCATCATTTTTAGTGGTAGCAAGGAATTACAGGCAGAGGCAATATTGCTTATGTAATCATCTCCATCTTCGGAAGTTTAGATTGCCTCTTCTTTTTCTCTCATAAAACCTACAACATGAATATTCTTTGGGCCGGTGTTGTGGTGTAATGGGTTAAGCTGCAACTTGCAATGCCAGAATTCCACATGAGCTCTGGTTCAAGTCCCGGTTGCTTCACTTGCAATCCAGCTCCCTGCTAATGCATCCAGGAAAGCAGTGGAAGATGGCCCAAGTGCTTGGACCCCTTCCACGCATATGGAAGACCTGGATAGAGTTCCAGGCTCAGCCCTGGCTATTGTGGACATTTGTTGAGTAAACCAGTGGATGGAAGAAAACTCTACACCCCCCTGCCCCACAACTCTGCCTTTCAAATAATAAATAAATAAATAAATCTTTAAAAGCTCTTCCAGCACACAGTTCAGACTGCTCTCTGGGAAGGTGATTTCAGTGTACATTCCCATGGTGGTTCAGCCCCTACAAACTCACCAACATCAGGAGCTATACTTTTTAAAAAGGCACCACTCTGATAAATGGTGACCAGTGCTGTGGTGAGTTCCTTTCACCGCTTGTGAAGAGAACATTTTTCTCCCCATGTGTTTATTGAACATTTGTATTTTGTGTCTAAATTTTTTGGTTCATTTCCTTTATCCATTTTTTTCTAGAGATAGAAACTGAACTCTAGCCTGCCAAAATAAACTTTTATTTTGCAGATTACTTCCAAAACACTTTTTTCCTTAGCCTCTGGCCATGATTTCCTTTTCCATCCTCTTCCATTTATGTATTTGATGCATAGAGATCTTTCTATAAACTCACTGATCTTGATGATGGGCAGGAGCTGAGCCCAGCAGCCACAGGGGCTCTGGGTAGGGGCTGGTGCTGCTACATCTGGAGGACATGTTGTTCAGCTTCTGGAGGGTGAGGAGGGCTTGGGGCTGCCGCCAACTGCCCATTGTCCTCTTGTCCCACCTCCAGGCTACACTGCTCTGGATGGATGGATGGATGGATGGAGGAGAGTTAGGGAGTTCTGGGGGGACAACTCCTGTCTTTGAGAGCAGCTTCCCCACTGTACTGTGAAGCCTCAGGCAGGACCCCCCGCCCCCAGCCCCTGCGTGCTGGTGATGGTGGCTCTTTCACATGGATGAAGGTGGCTATGAATTAACAAAAGGCAGCTATTACTTTAAGCTCTGATTGAGATTCTGGTTTTGCAGGGGGAGTGTTGGGTGGTTTGGGATGGGCAGGTCTGGGTTCATCTTGTTTGAGGAATGTTTACCATCTTTAGGTAGGAAGGGCTTATGGCCTTCACGGTAGCCTTGATCTCCCCACCCCAGGCTCAGGGTGGTATCCAAGTGGCCAACAGTGTTACTGTGTGCAGTGCATTTTCCTCATCTGTTGAGGATAAAAATAGTACCACCATCACTGGGCTATGTGACGATTAAGTCAGTTAATCTGTGTAGAACATTGAGATAGTTTTAGGCAATTTAGGAAATTTCTTACTTAGATTAACTCATTTAATCATTACGCAGTCTAGTGAGGTAGGGACTATTTTATACTTAACTTACAAATGAGACAGAGGGAGACCAGGGAGTAATGGGTGGCCAGCCCTAGGTCATGCAGCCGTAAGCGTCTGAGTTAGGATAATACATCTGGGCAATGTGTCTTCAGAGCACACATCTGTAGCCAGGTGTGTATGACAGCTATCCTCTTCCAAGGTGGGGAGAAAAGGGTGAGGAAGGAGAGAAGCCTGGCCTTTTCCTCCCAGAAGTGAAGCTGATAGGCTCACACAGGGAATTCAGGTTCATGCTTCTCAGCCCCTCCCTGCTGAGTCTTCTCCAGCCACACCTCCTATGGGAAATCTTCCTAGATGAGCTCCACCCACAAGATCACATCTATTTTCTCCACCTGCTTTGAACTTATGAACCTAGTTGTTTGCATGTTGCTTTTTTTCTTCCAAGATTTATTTTATGTATTTGAAAGGCAGAGTTATGGGGTGGGGGGAGAGACAGAGAGAGTGATCTTCCATCCATTGGTTCACTCCCTAAATGGCCACAATTGCCAGGGCTGGGCCAGACAAAAGCCAGGAGCCAGGAACTTCTTCCAGGTCTCCCACATGAGTGCAGGAGTCCAAGCACTTGGGCCATCATCTGCTGCTTTCCCAAGCGATAAACAGAGAGCTGGATTGGAAGTGGAGCAGCTGGGACTTGAACCAGCACCCATGTGGGATCCCAGTGTCTGCAGTAGGTGGCTTCACCTGCTACACCACAACACCAGCCCCTGCATGTTGCTTTGTGATGCTTGAAAAATTGATATCCAATTCAGTGAGCATTTATCGAATGCCTGGAACAGATGACTTTTAGGATCAATAGATGTGTAAAATAGGCCAAACATGGCTTCTCTCTGCCAGCATCTGTAGCCTTGCCAGGGACTCAAAGACAGGCATATGAAACACAGTTGGAGGTCAGTGCTGTAGAAGAAATATGAACAACACACTACAGAAGCATGGGGACAGGAATTTGTTAGCTCAGCTGGGAGGTAGGTGGCTCTGGGGAGCCTCCTGGGTTGTGCATTTGCACTGGGTGTTGAACGGTGTTATGAGGAGGTCAGCCTAAGAAGAGCGTGGACAAAGGCCCAACTGTACACTAAGCCCAGTAGAGTAAATGGCCCTGCTGGTGTCACTCTGGCTGCTTTGCTGTCACTGTCAGCAGGAACAAGAACTCTGCCCTGAAGAGTGTGTGTGAATCTCATTCTGGTCCTCAGTAGTGGCTCTGCCTTCTGTGCTCTTGCCCTGGGTTTTCCTGGCTGACACCCTAGTGCTCAGAGATCGCTCCCGCTGCAGGGGTGGTTGCAGTTGGTGTCATTGTTCTGTCTCCCTAATCTGGCCAAGGGCAGGGCAACACTGAAGCCCTGTGGGGACTGCATTCTTCTCAGGAGTGAGGCAGGAAACAAAGGCCGTGGACTTAGGGGAGCTGGTGCAGTCCCCTGGCTCTGGGAGAAGCATCTGGCTGTGTTGTTTTGGTTGTTTTGAAGTCTTTTAATGGACACCAAGTCTTGGCATTAAGGTGAGGAATCAAAGTGCTAGATCACTTCTGAATATCCAGGGAACTTGTCACGGACAATCATTTTTCATTTTCCCACCTAACCACCAACCCACCCAACTGACATTTGTCTGACCCCTTCTCAGTGGTGTCAGGCAGTGAACTTGGTGCTGGGGACCCAAAGACTGAAAAGACCCAGTTCTTGCCCTCACATTGAGTCTGGTGACCCGTGATTAAACAGTTAAAACATTGACTACTTCAATCAAGGAGGCACAGAGAAGAGGCATTGAGCACAGAGTTTGGGTTAATAAGTTGACAATTCTTGAACTGAATCTCAGTAGACAAAAAAGGAGGTAGCAGAAGTCATCTAGACAGACGGTAGAGTAGAAGGTGAGGGCATAAGATGCCCAAGAACAGCTTGTCTGGGGCTGAGAGAGCGTGTTGGGGTTGGCAGGGAGGTTTCGAGCTATGTTTGGAGAAGGTGGGTGGGGCCAGGTCCGGAAGTTTGAAATGGCATTTGAACACTACCTTCAGAGCACTGAAGGGTTTTGAGCATTGGAATCACTTGCTTGGCTCTGCATTTTCTAAAGAAAACTCACGGCACTGCACTGATAACAGTGCGGGGGAGGGGAGAGGGAAGGGTGGAAACAAACACATCCTTCAGGTGGGAGGCTGTTGCTGTTGCTGATGAAGACCTTCCTGGAGGAAGAGGGGTTAAGAGCTACTAAGAGGGTAGAATTGTCCAGACATGGCTATCAAGTAGGTATGGGTGGTGTCCACATGATGACATCTAATGATCTGACTTTGGCCACCACGGGTTCCTGCCGAAGCTCTCCATGGAGACGGAGATTAGAGGAAGAGAAACAGGTTGAATGAGGGCTGGGAGCAGAGATGAGTTCAGCTGGGGTGTGTTGAGTCAGCTGGAGGGAGATAGGGCACCAGAGCTGAGGACGTTGGATCCCAAGACAGATTTGGAAATTTTCAACCTCAAACTTACAAAGTTAAAAAGACTGTTGAGTTTCTGCTCAGCAGATAGGACAGATCAAGAAGGTTGGGGAAGAAAGGGCACGTGTCAGGGAGGAAGCACTGCATCAAAGAGACACAGGCAAATAAAGACTGAAAAGGCGCTTGGCCCTGGCAGGATGAGAGCATGACTGGCTGCGGAGACCACAGATCTTGAAGTGCAGGAGAGAGGGAGTTGAATGCAGTGGATTCAGGGGTGAGTGGGAGGTGATGGTGAGGGGAGAGTGAAGACAGCTTCTCAGCAGAAAGGAAAACCAAAGGGAGAGGTGCAGAAGGAGAAACAAGTCGAGGAGGAATTATTTTGAATTGAGAAAGACTTGATCAGCCTGTGTGGTGAAGGGAAGGAGTCCATAGACAAGGGTTGAACGTGGAAGGCTGAAGTCCCCAGAAGTCATCTTGGCCACAGGATCCACAGGAACTTCCAGGCTCCACAGGCAAGGCGGCCTCCTGGCCTGAAAAGCCACCATTCTGCTGCCCCCCGGGCCTTGGCTCCTCCTGTGCTTTGCCAGGGCCTGTCATGAGCCTTTGTTGTGCAGCTAGTAGAACTGACTTCAGATCAGACTCAAACCTCGTCTCTTAAAGCTTCAGGCCGCCACTTTATAAGAGCAGGAAGCTTTTCTTGGGTCTCTGCTGTCAACAGTTGTGGAGTCAGGTGGGCCAGGAGACAAGGCTAGCACACAGGTAAGCAGGGGTACCACCTGTGGTATTGGTTCTGAGCCAGGCAGAGGGCTGCGTTACTCCACAGGGTCCTGTGGCCATGCTGCCACCTACTGTTCAGTGTGGTGTATAGCAGGGCCGCCTCTCCTTGCCCATCAATCACCCTTCTGCAGGAAACAGGAAAAACCAGAAAGTCCATAAAGAAGCTGGACTTGAGAGAAAAACCATTCCATCCTGACCCAGGGACAGAACGTACATCAGGGGATGAAGACAGACAGGTGGTGAAACTATCGATCAGCTTAGGCAGAGGCCAATAGGACGCACAGGGTTATAGTTTATAAGACGCTTTTGCCTAGACTGCCTCTCATGCCATAAGTTAGTGGTTGTTTTCCCTATTTACAGGTGTGGCTTATCCCTGGAAGTTTCAAGCAGCTTGTCCAAGTCAGTTGTCTGTTACATGGCAGAGCTCAGATTTGAAACAGCTTCTTTTACATTTTGGAGGTGGGGAACACTGAGTTCCATTTCAGAAGCAATAGGAATGGTGTAAGACAAGAGTAGCTGTGAAATGTGAAGAGTCTGACCAAAATGAGACCACAAAGCCCTATGCCTGGCTGACCTTATGGGGTAGAGTTTGGCTTGGAGGTGAGAAGGTCCACCACTGCCCAGAGTGGACAGGACTGCTGGGCTCAAGTAGGGGCCTGCCAGTGAGATGAGCTCTAGCGAGACCTGCACAGGAGCCAGGGTATCAGATCACAGGAGGCCTCTGGGGGAAGGCCCATGGGGTGACTGACAGAACCACCCCTGGAAAACCATCATTTGGCCTCCTCACCAGTAGCTGGAATGGATAACCCAAGATCCGAGAAGTGCACCAGCAAGTGGATGGGTCCCTGTGAGTAGGGAAGCCCAGGGAAATCTGCCCATGAGCACCTCCTGGTAGGATTACAGGGAGGCCGGAGAAGAGAAAAATCCAGCGAGCTCACCTGCCGCCTGACACTGGCTGGGAAGGGAGACCAGGGGGCCTCTGGGGGTGCTGGTTGGGGATGGGTGGGAAGAACTGCCTTCTCTTCAGAACCCCCAGGTTATAAGGAGATAAAGTGTTTTTGTCTCACTTTCTTAGACTGTTTCAGTAAAGATGTGGAGGTAGTACCTGGGGGAGGGGACACGTAGAGGATCCCTACCAAGAGTGAGAAGGCAGAGACAGGTGCTGGTTCCTGGCTCCAGGTGTCAACCAAGCCCATCTGCATGGTCTTCCAAAGCTTTAGGATAAGAGTCCTGTGCTTGGAACAGCTTTCTACTTCTCCCACTTCCTAATTACTCTCTTTGGCTTTGCTTTCCTCTTGGTTTCCCTAATAAAGTTACCTTTGAAAATAATCCCTCCTACCCCTATCTTTTCTAAAAGTAGATAGAGTCATTTGTTCCTGTGCAGGGCAGAGCAAATAAGGAACAGACCACCTCCAGAGGCCCAGGCCTTAGAGTGAGCATTGCAAGACAGGTGAGCTGGGGCAAGAGAGAAGGGCAACCAAGGAGGAAGACTGGCCGTGTGGGGCTGTGTAGAGGGCTCTGCAGCCCTCCTTCCCCTACCCTTCCACCCCACCAACCCCTTTCCTTTCCCCACACACTCAGTGTCTCCCTCTTCCCCATTCACAAGCAGCTACTGGAGTTGGCACTGTGGTGTAGTAGGCTAAGCCTCCGCCTGAGGTGCCAGTATCTCATATGAGCACTGGTTCGTGTCCAGCTGCTCCTCTTCTGATCCAGCTCTCTTCTTATGGCCTGGGAAAGCAATGGAAGATGGCCCAAGTGCTTGGTCCCCTGCACCCATGTGGGAGACCTGGAACAAGCTCCTGGCTACTGGCTTTGGAATGGCTCAGCTCTGACCATTGTGGCCATTTGGGGAGTGAACCAGCAGATAGAAGACCTTTCTCTCTGTTTCTCCCTCTCTCATCTGTAACACTACCTCTCAAATAAATAAAATCTTTTTAAAAAGCAGCTACTTAAGTTTATAACAACTTAGATCCTATTGGTGATATGATAAGAAATAGTAAGCAGTGATTATGTGCCTGAACCTTTGTTACTTCCACTCAGATTGTCTCACATTTTTCTTAAAAAAAAAATTCTGACTGAGTAATACAGACCCACTATGGGATATCCAGGAAAAGATAATGAGGGTAATATCAATCAGATACACTTTTTATTTAACTAAAAGTGATCAACCTTATCTTTGATGACTGGTAAATTCCGGCCACATCCCTCCTGACCACTAAAGGGTCATGGGAGCCTAGTACACAGTGAATGCTCAGTCAGAACTTGTTGGGCATCTGGCTCTTGACTGGCACCCAGTGAGCTCCAAGTTTCCTGTGCGTTGGGAGTGGTAGCTGGTCTGCGGCATACTGGCTGGGAAGCAGGCTGAATTCCATGTAGACTTAGCTGATGGCTTCCTGTTGTGACAATAAGCTCCGTCCTGCAGGAAGTGGGTTTGGATGCTGCGTCTGGATCACCTGAGTCTGATGAGTAGTCCGGGAGGAGCTAGTCTCTAACAATCAGATACTGAGTACCTACTGTGTACCAGGGACTGCACAAGCTGCTGGGGGTACTTTGGCTATGGGATCTACAAAGTAACTGGGATGTAAGCAGGCATGTGTGGTCCCAGAGCCAGGGACACAACGCTGGAAGGGCAGAGCAGCTTGCTGCAAGGCTGGGCACTGCAGGAAGGCTCCCATGGGGCGGCGGCCTGAGAGCTGGGCCCTGATGAATGAGTGGAGGCTGGGGGCCTTCAGGTAAAGTAGGAAGCTATGCCAGGAGAAATGAAGAATTACAGCAGCATTCTGGAGGTAGGAAAATCTCATGTTTGTTCCAGAAATGTGATGGGGACCTTCTGAGAACATATTTTGAAATCCAAGAGGGTAGCTGCTGCCTCAGGGACCCCTGCAGGCGGTGAGCCGCCCTGGCTCCGCAGATGTCCTCTCCCTTGCACCTGCAGCTCCTCTGTGGCTTATGTAGCAGGAACAAGTGTGTCTGCTGTGCCACGCAGGCTCAGGTCAGAGCCCTTTCCCTGACACCTGGGGTTCTCTAGGCAGATATGGCTGCTCTCTGACCCTTCCTGCTGTTACGGCCCACTCCACACTGACTGCCACTGGTTTGGGGCCCATTTTCTCCTCTGAACTATGTGCTCTTCATGGGCAGGATGTGTGCTCGATGCCCCTCTGAATTTCCAGCGTCCAGCATTGGACCTCACATAGCATACACACCTAGTTAATGTCAGTTAATCCTTTTTAAGGTTTATTTTATGTATTTGAAGGGCAGCGTTATGGGGCAGGGAGAGATCTTCATCCACTGGTTCATTCTCCAGATGGCCACACTGGTTAGGTTGGAGGTGAGCCAGGTGGAGCCAGGAGCCAGGAGCTTCATCCAGGTCTCCCATTTGGGTGCAGGGTCTCAAGCACTTGGGCCATCCTTTGCTACTTTTCCAGAGCATTAGCAGGGAGCAGGATGGGAAGTGGAGCAGCCAGGATGTGAACGGGCATCCATATGGGATGCCAACATCACAAGTGACAGCTTAACCCACTACACCACAACGCCAGCCCCGCGTCTATTAATTCTTTTCTTTGCTCAGTGAACATGACCCAGGCACTCTGCAGACACACGGGCCCAGTTCCCCCATCTAGACCCATTTTAGGGATGTAGATAGGACTCTAAGCAGTGATGGTCCACACAGTGTAGGAAGGCCCAGTGCAGGTTGTCCTCATCAACCCCAATTAATATTTGATTGTGAAGATCACAATACAGGCTTGTGTAAGAGGGCTCATTATTTGATTGATGGAAACAGGTTTTCAGCTGCCAGCTTGACAAGTGCATACTGCACAGCCTCTCCCACTCCACCTGCAGCAATAGTAGGCCATGGATTTAGGTGATAATGCTTGGAATGCCTTGAAGATTCTGCTTCAACCACAACCTGGGTGCTGCTATGACAAGGATGGGCCCTGGTGACAAATAGTGGCCTGATTATGGAGGCCTGTTGTTTCAGGACGGGGCCTTGAAACCTGCCCAACTAGCTACTGCACTGCCCACTGGACGAGATGAGAAGCACATCTCCTGGGTTCCAATCCTGCTGCTTCATCACCCTCATTTGGGAAGCTGGACCTTGACTTTTGTATTAGTGGCCAACCAAAGACTCAGGACATTTTTACAGATGCCTAACTCCTGTGAGGGAGTTTCATGGGGATGTCCCTTCAAGAAAGGGTAGATGGATGCATGGGAAAACAGAAGGATGAGACTGATGGAGAACGAGTACTGACTCACCCAGTGGGTAGAGATGGGTGGATGGGAAGCCATGCTGTGCCTGTGGTCCTTCTGGAGGCATGAAGTGTTTCTCTGGTACAGCTGGGATCAGCAGTGTTCCTGCTGGGTGCTGCTGCAACAGTGCCTTCTCAGAGCGGTTTCTTTTCTTTCTTTTTTTTCTAGGATTTTATTTATTTATTTGAAAGCGTCAGAGAGATAACATGGGGTGAGGGGGAGAAAGAGAGATCCACGGCTTCACTCCCAAAATAGCTGCAACAGCAGGGGCTGGGCCAGGCCTAAGCTGGGAGCCTGGAACTGGATCGAGTCTCTCACATGGGTGGCAGGGGTCTCAAGCTCTCAGGCTATCTTCTGTTGTTTTCCTAGGCATATTAGCAGGAAGCTGAATCAAATTTGCACTCCTGTGGGATGCTGGTGTCACAGGCAGTGGTTTAACCCACTGCACCACAGCACCGACCCCATGAGAGCAGTCTCTGAAAGCTTGTGATGAGCAGTTGAAGAGCTAAATGCAAAAGGGCTGCTCTTCCATTCATTTTTCAGGAAACTGCAATAAATTGAGTGCAACTGAAGCATTTCCAAAGATGTGCTATCAGGCCGGCGCCGTGGCTCACTAGGCTAATCCTCCACCTTGCGGCGCCGGCACACCGGGTTCTAGTCCCGGTCGGGGCACCGGATTCTGTCCTGGTTGCCCCTCTTCCAGGCCAGCTCTCTGCTGTGGCCCGGGAGGGCAGTGGAGGATGGCCCAGGTGCTTGGGCCCTGCACCCCATGGGAGACCAGGAGAAGTACCTGGCTCCTGCCATCGGATCAGCACGGTGCGCCGGCCGCAGCGGCCATTGGAGGGTGAACCAACGGCAAAGGAGGACCTTTCTCTCTGTCTCTCTCTCACTGTCCACTCTGCCTGTCAAAAAAATAAAAAATAAAAAAAATAAAAAAATAAAAAAAGATGTGCTATCTATCGACTTTCAAGCATGAAAATACTCTATTTTCCCTCTTGGAGGTTTTTTTTTTTTTTTTTTTTTTTTTGATTTATTTATTTGAAAGGCAGAGTTACAGAAAGAGAGGGAAAGAGAGCTTCCACCTGCTGGTTCACTTCCCAAATGGCCACAATGACTGGGGCTTGGCCAGGCAGAAACCAGGAGCCAGAACTCCATCTAGGTTTCCCACATGGGTGGCAGGGCCCCAAGCACTTGGGCCATTTCACTGCTTTCCCAGGTACATTAACAAAGAACTGGATTGGAAGTGGAGCTGCCAGGATTGGAACTGGAGCCCATATGGGAAGTCAGTATCGCAGGCAGCGTCTTAACCTGCTGGGCCACAACGCTGGCCCCATCCCTCTTGGAACTGATGGGCAAACATATGAGAGAGGGTAAAATATCTGCACATAGAGCACTTTCAGAAAATTACTCCTATAAATAATTGACCAACAACCAAACAATTCCACAAAGAATTTGATGAATGGAGAGCATCAGCCATACGCCCACCACAGTAGAACCAGCGTGGATGTGTTTGTGTGGCTGTGCTCATGCATATGAACGTTTGTAGCTGCAATCATACCCACATGCCTACACTCAGTAACCTGCTTTCTCCACCTAGCATGATGTCATGAGCATTTTTCTATGTTGCCACATAGTCTTTATAATTACTTTAGATGATTGCCTGATATTCCATTCATTATGCCAACTGCTGAATATTTAGGTTGCTTGCATTTTGTCCCTTTGCTCATAATCATGAATTAACAAACGTAAGGTATTTCACCCAGCACCTGCAAAACACATGTATTTGATAGGCACTTTATTTCCTTCCCATCTTGATATTCATATAAATGAAAAAGTATCTATGAAAAACTCATAGTTAAGCTTTTCCTTAGGGTAAATTTCTTAGGGTAGCTATTTCACATGTGTTAGTGAAATGTTACTTTATTCATAACAATGAAAATATGAACAGTCAACAACTATACATATTCTATCATAATATTTTCCTATATCTCTAAGGAGTAGCTCTTACTCTATTTTATTTTATTTTATTTTTAAAAGGATTTTATTTATCTTGAAAGCCAGAGTTACAGAGAGAGAGGGACATTTCTGTGGGGGCGAGTGAGGAGAAGGAGTGAGAGAGGAGGGAACTTAGGAAGCTGTCACAGTCAGTGGGTAACAGAGGAGTCACTGAGGGAGCCAGGAACCAGAGACAGTCACAGAGCTAAGAGACCCACGATGTGAGGGCCAGGCCTTCCAGGCAGCCCCACTCGCGTGTACTGAGCATGGCCGTCTGTATGTGCTCAATGAGCCTTGGGAATACAGCAATGCATAGAAAATGTCCCTGTCCTCAAGGAGACAAGAAACAACGAGAAGCACAGCACCATAAGTGCTCGACTGCTGATAAACAAAGTGTGAGCACCCAGAGGAGGGCAGGGGCGTAGGGTTCTGCATCTGCTTCACAAAGAAGTAATATCAGACCTCGCCGTGCAGCATGAGTGACGGTCCAGCCGGCATAGAAGGGAACAGCAGAGCAAAACCCCAGAGGCTCACAGGGACAGGACTAATTAATCCAGCCTTGTGAGGGAGGATGGGGCTCCCAGGGGAGGGGACATCAAAAGTGGCACAGGCTTGGGAGCAAACAAAAAGGTGGCAGCCAGAGTCAGTGCTGTGTATGACTGCATATGTGTCTGTCCCTGTGCGGAGATATGCATGTCAATATGCATGTGTGTGTGTGTGGCTGTGTGTCTGCTGGGGTAGGCATGTCAGTGCATGTGTGTGGCTGCGTGTCTGCTGGGGCGGGCATGTTGGTTTGTGTGTCTCTGTGCGTGTGTGCCTGTGCAGGGATATGCATATTAGTGTGCATGTGTATGTGTGTCCTGGGGTAGGCGTGTCGGTGTATGACTTGTGAGTGTGTCTGTGAACACGGAGAGATCTTAAGCTCCACTGCATTGGGTAAAAGATTGACAGGAGGTGGGAACAAGTAGAGGCTATTCCTTCAAAGAATATTCATCAAGTACCTGATGGAACTTACACACTGGTGGGGGAGGCAGGCAATACGGTAACAGAGTAGTCACAGAGCATGGTGACTGATAAGAAGGAACTAAACGTGGTGGTGTGGTGGAGAGTGGGTGCAGGGTGCTCCTCCAGGGAGCCAGGCTGGAAGTCTCCCCAAGAGGGTAGCTTTGAGCAGAGGCCTGAAAGATGAGAACAAGCACTGTAGTCAGAGGGAAGATTTAAATCAACTGGGGAACATTTGGTGCATTTGAAAAAGAGAGACGAGGCTGAGAGGGCTTGAGTGTAGCCGTGCATGGCCAGGGAGGTAGATGTAGATCTGTACGTTTGAATTCCAGTCTGAGAGCAAAGGGGAGCTGCTGAAGGGGTCTAAGCAGGGAAGAAATGCTCCTGTTGTATGTTTTGGAACAGCTTTCTGGATGCCTCATGGGAGCAGCACGGGAGGAGGTTCATGCAGAGGCCCCGGCGGAGGTCGGGTGGCTTCCCCTAAGACAGCAGCAGAGCAGATGGAGAAGGGGGTGCAGCTCCAATATATCTGGCGATTGCC